GCTGGGGGATCGAACCGCGGTCCCTGTGCTTTGCCAAGCTTGTTCTAAGTAGGTGCTTTAGACCACTGAGCCATCTCTCCAGCCCCTGTTCACCCTTTTTAAAGTTTCTCACAAGATAGTATCTGCGGCATGTGTGGATATGCAAGGGTATAAATGTACGTCATATTCTTCAGCCGTCCATATAGAATTAGTTCTTTTTGCTTTTTCATTTGACATGTAGTAATAGCTGGTGCTTATTAAATGCATCTTTATACCAGGTATTCTTGGAGACTACTTCTGGTAGTCTCCCGTGCCTGCCTGTCTCTTACCCAGTCACTAGGGGAAGATAATACTGAAAACCCTGAAGTGGCATTGTCCTGAGGCTCCATCTTAAATTATTGTTGTGGATGATCACATTTAATCTACGCTTTAGCCCCTTAACTAGGAAGTGATTTATTCCCACTTAAAGGGCAGCAAGCTTTGATGTGAAGAGGTTAAATATCTTTCCAGGATACATAGAATGTGAATGCAAGCCCAGGTGTCTGACTCCAAGTTGTGGGGCTTTTGCCACTGCTTTGTTGGCCTCCCAGCGGAAGAATGTAGATTAGAGACAGAATACCTGCCCACAGGGAGGGAACCGCTTGACAAGATGAGGCCCTGGCACACTCTGCAGTATGAGAGAGTGCTTGATTTTGTAGGTCTCCCTTAAAGTGGCCACCATCCCTTCCCAAGCTCCCCCATGTTGAGTTATGAGCCCCCACCACACGTATCTCTTTTTCCTTGAAAGTCATCCTTAAATTAAAGGAAGTAAATATGAAGCAGCCTCTAGTTCCCAGCGGTAGCTTTAACCTCATTAAGCTTGACCTTTCTGCACACCAAATATGGGGAACTCGTCTCCAGTCCATGACAAACTGAAGAAGGGACAGGCCAGATAATATGGGTGATCTAAGTTTGAGTCCTCAGACTATGTGCAGCAAATTCCTTGCTCATAGCAAGACACCGCTGCCCTGGTAAGAATCTACGAGCAAATATGAGCTGTTCAAGAAGCACAAGGAGGAGTTACATGCTATTGAGATAGCCCTGGTGTTCAGAGCTTTTAATTGTTTGGCCCAAAGCAAGATACATCTGCCTGTGTTCAGTAACTCTCATCATCCATAAAGAAAAACCAAAGCTCTGAAGAAAGATATATCTTAAGAGAGGTTGGATATCAAATACCAAGGAGTCAGATAGAAGGGATAAACTGCAGTGTTCCCCAACACAGCAGAGTCATTGTAGCTCATGGTGATTTGTTATATATTTTATAAAGAACTAAAAGACAGAGATTTGAAGATTCCCAACACAAAGAAGTAATAAGAGGCTAAGGAGATGGAAATGTTGATTAGCCTGATTTGATCTTCACACGTTATTTACATACACTGAATTGTCATATTGTGTCCCATGAATATATACAATCATTACGTGTCAACTTTTTAAATTTTTTTGTTTGGGGGGTTTGTTTTGTTTTGTTTTTGTGGAACCCGGGATTGAACTCAGGCCCTTGCACTTGCCAGGGAAGTGCTTACTCCCCTGAGCCATCTCCCAGCCCCAGCTTTTAAACATTTTTAAATGTACCCTGTCTTTTCTTTTTTTTTTTGCAGAACCAGAGATTGAACTCAGGCCCTTGCGCTTGCCAGGGAAGAGCTTATTCCACTGAGCCATCTCCCCGGCCCCTATTTCTGAGCTAATCTGTAGCAAGTATTTCCTTCCACTCACTTCCTAGGACTTGACCCCAATAAAATCAAAGTGTCAGCAATACCCAATAGCCCCTGATAGTTCATGCTTTTGCATTTGTGCCTGTGCTGTTTCCTTTCTGCTTTGGACATGTCTCGCTGTTGCCCTTCTCTGGTATTTTTGTGCTTTAAGAATCAAGTCACGGGGCTGGTGAGATGGCTCAGTGGTCTAAAGCACCTACTTAGAGCAAGCTTAGCAAAGCACAGGGATCGCAGTTCAATCCCCCAGCACCACATGCCAGCCAGCCCCGCCCCCTGGTGGGCTGAGCTGGCCACACACACACACACACACACACACAAACAAATAAATAAAAAAAAATTAAAAAAAAAATAAAAAAAAAAAAAAAAAAAAAAAAAAAAAAAAAAAAAAAAAAAAAAAAAAGAATCAAGTCACCTATCTCCTCTCCCTGCCTTTCCTGCCCCAGGTAGGCTGGGCCTCTGTCCCGGAACCCAGATGTGGTCTCTAGTTTATCATTCAGTCTTGGATTATCTGAGTAGTGTCTGTGTCACCAGCCCTCAGCCCCCAGTCCCAAACTGTAGTCTCCTCAAGGACAAGGATAGTGGTGAGCATCCCTGAGTCTCCAGCAGTGGAATGGTCATCTTTCAGGGAATGTCAGTTGCCTTAGAGCTTACTAGGAATTCTAACAGTGAGGGTCAGGAAATTATAAGTTTCTTTTCTAATCTGTTTGCTTGCTTGCTTGATTTGCCCTGCTGGGATCAAACCCAGGGCCTTACATATGCCAGGCAAGCATTCCACCACTGAGCTACATCCTCAGCCCCAATGTTTTAATAACCACAAAATGTAACTTAAACCACACAAAGAAAAGATGTTCTGCTGGTGAACGTAGGTCATCTGAAAGTCTGGCGCACTGGGTGACCAAGCCCACCAGTATTAACCTACAGGGTCCTAGGCGTGTGTCCAGTGACTATGCTCAATGTTTCTCTTCAGGGGTAGAATTAACTCTACCTATACTTAAGAAATGCCTGACCTTAGTAATCTGCATTCTGCTTGGTGTGACGTTGTGATCCTGAACAAACTATAAAATCTATACACTAGTGGATAACTGAAGCAGTTTACTAGTGTTCAGCTGAAATACCCAAAAGACATCTCGTAGTCTCTATTCACTTTCTGCCAACCCCTCAAATACTATGCTGTGCCTCAGGGCAGAATGAAAGCTTCCAGTGCTCCGTGGTACACAAACTTGATTAGAGTGTCATCCTTTTAGCCAATCTGTGACTTCTACTGGCCTTTCTATAGAGAGAGCCAAAGCACTGTCACATATGGCATCTTCCCCGCTTCCTCCTAGGGAGTGGCCTTGGACATTTTTCCCAGGTTAGTAAGGGTCAGAGCCTTGTCCAAGATAATCCAGCAGAACTGAGAGTGAGACTTCTCCTGGAGTACAGAAGATAACCCACCTCCCAAAGATTTCTAGGCTCCAAGAAAAAAGAGCCAGGCTGCACATCCTCATTTCTGAGACTTCTTCCCCAAAAGGCTTCCTAGGCTGTTTTGTGTCATCCACTACCCTACATTCGAGGCGATGTGCCCATTTGCCTGGGCTCTTGGCCAGCATGCCACAGGTGGGCAGGACAGCGCTGCCCCGCCACGCCTCACCCTGCACCATCCCAGGCCCCGTGCTCGCCTCCTCCCCCCTCAGCCTCACACACCCACCCCTCTGCTACTGCAAACTCGCATAATGTATTTCTCTCAAGTTGCACTTGTGCATCTGTTTATTTTTCATTTTTAAAACATGTTTTCTTGATAAATTCATAAATATTTTAGCAGGTGCCCTTTCCTCGTGTAAATCTCTCTCCAACACACATGCCCACGCTGCCTGCCAGATTGCAGTCGTGTTACAGCACGCGCGCTCCCATGCCGGGGCCCACTCTTCTCTCCCCGCTCACACAGTCTGGGTGTCCTTCCTGCCCACTATGCAGAGCCCTGGCCAGCCCTCCCTCCCCCTACTTCCCACGAGAGTTTCTTCCTCTGCCTCATCCTCATGTGTACTTCAGGGAGCCTTCTCTGCTCCTGTTCCTTACACAAATGTTGATGATAAACCTTAATCAGTCTCCTTGCTGGTACTAAATTCACCTCTCTGATGGACGATGCAATTGAGTAACACAGGGACATATGTAGGATCTTGTTCTGGGAGAAAGTGTCTCAGGGCTCCATGCAGCTTCTCCCCTGCTCGCTCCCCAGCACCTCCAGAGAATGAGTTGCATTCACTCTGCCGTGCTCTAAGGCGTAGAGAGCCTGCTAAGGTTGCATTGAACCATATGAAATTATTAACAGTCCCACGGGCTGGGGCGGTCGCTCAGTGGCCTAAGTGCTTGCCTTACAAGCACAAAGTCCGGAGTTCAATCCATGGTACCACACACAGAAGAAAAATAAAAAGTCCCTGATATTTGTTTTTAGGTACACTGACTTCTTCAGGGTAACTTTGGAGCCACAGAAAATCTGGATGAGATGCAGGGTTCCTACATGTGCCCTGATCCTGTACTCCCACAGCCTCCCCTAGCAGCATGTCCAGGTACCTCTGCTATAGGGGATGAGCCTCTATGGACACATCGCTCCTCCGAGAGTCCCTACCTTATGTTAGATTGTGCATAAAGTTGTGCAGTCAGTGGGTTTGGACAAATGCATAGTGACACACACCCACCATTGTGCAGACTCGATTCCTTGGCCTACAGCCCTCTATGCTGCCCTTATCCATCCCTGCCTCCCTCCTTACCCCTATGAACCATTGATCTTTCTACAGCCCCCATAGTTTTTACTTTTCCAGAATGTCAGACAATTGGAATCAGTGCACCTTAGCACCTCAGAACTAATACTCGGGGAGACTTTCAACTAGAAGGTTTGAAATGAAACTGGAACACTGACTCCCTGCAGTTTACTCACAGTGGGGACTGCTGATTGCTTGCTCAGGCCTCCGAGTGGGACAAGGCGATGTCCTGGTAATGGGTCAGTGTTGGCGCACATCTGGATGAGCTGCTCTGTGAGGAGACACGGCGGAAGTGTGTCCCGGTGCCCTGGACATATGTATAGTTTAAGTGTCGAGATCCTGAACTAGTCATCCATAAGTCACCTTATAATAGGATGTACACAAACAAGGCTTGGAAAACCCTCAGAAACAAGATCTTGTGTGTTCCAATTCTGGCTTGACCAAGACTTTTTTTCCTTTTCTTTTTTTCTTTTTTTACTGTATCGTCCAGGTGTGTGAGAAAGAGAAACTATTGTCCGAGAGGAATCAGCTGAAAGCGTGCATGGGGGAACTGCTGGACAACTTCTCCTGCCTCTCCCAGGAAGTCTGCCGAGACATCCAGAGCCCAGAGCAGATCCAGGCCCTGCATCGATACTGCCCCGTCCTCATCCCCATGGATCTCCCCGGAGCCTCCAGTGTTAACCCCACTCCACTGAGTGTAGAGCAGAACATCACCGCCTCCCAGTGCGCAGTGGGGGAAAATGTGCCCTGCTGCTTGGAGCCAGGTGCAGCGCCCCCAGGGACCCCCTGGGTACCCAGCAGCACCTCTGAGAATTGTACCTCTGGGAGGAGGTTGGAAGGGACTGACCAAGGAACCTTCCCGGAGCGAGGCCCGCCTCTTGAACCCAGAAGCCAATCAGTGACCGTAGACTTCTGCCAAGAGATGACTGATAAGTGTACAACTGACGAGCAACCCAGGAAAGATTATACCTAGTGACCCAGATCTGCCTCCCAGGCTCCACACCTCTCCCATCCAGGCGTTCTTCAGTCAGCCCGTGGCGCTGTTCCCCTGTTGTCTCGAAGAACCGAGAAGGAACTGGTGCACACTACAGCAGTCTCAGCAGCAATATGTCCTGACATAGTCCCTCCTCTCTTCAAGCAGGAGTGATAGATAGTTACCTTCACAATGGTGCTACCCCTTGCTCAGGCAAGGAAGACAACAGTGCCGACACTGTCTGTCTGTGGGTTAATTTCAGTCTTCACAGGGATAGACTACAACACCTCTAGGACCCAACCACGGATTTTTTTTCTCAGTGGCCCATGTCACAAACCCTATCTCAGGAATTTCTTCTGAATGTTCAATTTTTTTCATTGAAGACAGCTTCTATACACATCAAAGTTTTATAGCTAGACTGTACATATTATATATAATATATATAAAATATATATATATCCATATGCAAAAGTCCTGCATGCCTCAGTTTTCTCACTCTAAAACTGGAAACTTCATTTCTCATTTATAAGCAGGTTCCGACATTCCTCTCTTCTTTTGTCTCTGATGCTCGAACTAATTTGGTAACTGTTAACATGGTTTTTCTTGCTTCAATTTAAATTTGTGCTTATTTATGGACAAAATTCAGTGTTGGACACTTTTTTCAAGATTTTATTTTAGACTTTTTTTCTGTTTGTTTGGTTTGGCTTGGGCACCACCAAATGGTGTGGTATGAGCGTTGTGGGATTGTTTTTTTGTCTGTTTGTGTTTTTTTTTCCTTACAGATACTGTACAGTAATGGTCAACTTTGCCACTTGCACTGAGTTTGAGTCAAGCTTATTTTCTTAAATGAAGTTGTATCTTCATATAACTCAAGTATACTGTATTTCTTTGCTTTTAGTTAAAGAAGTAAAACATTTTAGCTAATTAAAAAGCACTCAGGTGATAATTATGTAGGAAAAACAATCTTGCCAAATAATGAATTCATCCTAGGATGTGTAGACAATAATCTGCTGGAATAGTTTTACATTTCACCTCCTCCCCACCTTTCCCTAAGTGAGTGTAACTGCAGACAGAGTTCAGAACTGCTGGATGCTCAGATTTCTAAGTGGGGAGAGAGTTTGGACACCTTGTTCAGAAGCGCATCAGAACAGCAGGAATCTGATTTTGTACCAGAACCTTTCAGGCATCGGCTCCTAGAAATCAAGGTAGAACTGGTTTCTCACCCAGGGAGAACATCCCATTCATTTTCTTCCTTTATCAGGCCTCAGCCTGCTCTTAGAAGTAGAACTCAGTAGGCCTTCTTTAAAGGACAGGGCTGACCGTGGCTGAACCCCGCTGTCCTGCGCAGGGCTGACCTCCCAGGACACTTCACCTGAAGGGACTTGAGTCGCAGCCCAAAGGTCCTGCCTTTCCATGGCAGCTTTAGGATAATGCAGCTCATTGAGAGTATGAGAGAGCAGGGAAGATTCAAGCGTGAGATCCCTCCCTGACACAGACGAACCCATCTCATTCTCCTTTTCTTCACTTGCTCTGAGGTTTTTCTGCAGGTCTCTTGCCTGAAGCCAGCTTCATCAGGAGGCTTTGAACAAGATATCTTCAGAAGCCCCTCGCTACCCTCTTCACACAGAGACACAAGGATACAGACATAGACAGACAAACAGACACACACGCACGCATGCACTCTTACCCTCACCTGACAATAATTTTCTTCTCTTGCTGCAAAAGGGGTTGGCTTGCAACCCGGAGAGAGCAGCTTCCCTGGGCTCTCAGGTTGTTGTTGTGGCCCTTGGCCATGTTTACAGGAAGGTGTGTCACAGGAGGAGGAATCAGCTCCCTCCTTCCTGTGGTCCCCATCTCCTCTTGAGGAGCAGCCCAAGGGCCACTCCCACCTGGCTGAGCAAGAGAGCCCGGAACAGTTTGATGTGGGGCTGGGGTGGTGGGCAGTGGGGAATAGATGGTTGACTTTGTTTCTTTATTTGTGCCATTGTTTGGACAATATTAAAGCTGCATGTAAATGGAAAATTTAGTATATGATTAGTAGGCAAAAAGTGAAATCATAGTAACATATGTTTTAGTATTAACTTTTTTCTGTACAAATATTAGCAGTAAGTCTTTAGATATGTATGAATGCCAGAAGTTTGTTGGTTCATGCAGTAGGATGAGGGGAAAAAAGGCTTTTCTTTTAAAATAGTTTCACTTCTAAAACCTGCCTCTGGGTTTCTGTTTTTTCCTTGTGTGGATGTAGGTGTGTGCTTGTCAGAGACGGGTTGTGATGAGGCTCTATGTTGGAGCCACTGTTTTCGTTACAGTTTTGGGAATTCTTAGCCTAGTAGAACCATTCTGTGCTTCACCAAGAAGGTTTGCCTTTGTGGAAAACTGGTGACAACTAGAATTTTAACTCAGTGTGAATCATGTGATACCTCCCAGGTGTGTGGTATGGTGGAGGAGTCAGCAGACAGTATTTTGTTCTCTAACTCTCTTGTTGCCTTCTTGAGTGACCTCTCCTCTTCTTTTAAAAAAAAAAAAAAAAAGGAATGTTTTCTGCTTGTATCATAGCCAGGTGCAGGCCAGCTTCTTGGCTTGATTTTTCCTGGTCCTAAGTCATGTGCAGCTGGTAGTCTTGACTGCATTCCATCGGTTCCCCAAATTTCTGTTGTTCTGCAGCCTGGACCTGTGTGGCAGCCCTTTCCAGGAGGGGAGGGGAGTCTCTTCAGTTCTCCCCACCCTAACCTAGCCCCTTTTTCATCCTACAAGCCTCTACCTTGCTTTTCTTTCCTTTTCCATCCAACCTCCGCCATGGGAACTGACTTTTTTTTTTTCCTAATTGCTCTAAAGGCTGTGATTCTGTTTCTTAGATATTTTCAACCAATTCTTTCATTCATTATTCACCAGGAACAGTGACTGGCTTTGTGTAATTGTTCATATGACATCTCTATGTCTTTTACTATTCCGAATCACTGCTTGTCAAAGTGACTTCTGAGCTGATTCAAAGGAGGACTTGCTGGGGACCAGAATGCAAATTGCCTCAAGTGGAATTTAAAAAAACTCATTCTATCTCTTTTCCCTGGGATCTCCTAGTCAACCTCAGGCCTTGGGGGGAGGGGGCTTCAAGATTGGTCTTGCTAGGTAAACTAGGCCAGCTTTGAACTCACTAAGTAGCCTAGGCTGTCTTCAAACTCATGGTGATGCTCCTGCCTCAGCCTCCCAGTACTGGGCTGACAGGGGTGTACCATCACAACTGGCAACCTCATGACTTTTGTAAAGAGGAAAAGCAAATGAAGAACAAGAAATAAAGGGCATTGAGGTCGTGGGCTGTTCAGGAGAATCACTCTGACAGCTTGGGTGGGTCTCCAAGTGGCTGGGACAGGACTGGGTTGCTGGACCAGGCCAGTGCAGGAAATCCTGACCCTAAGTAATAGCCCACCTCAACCTGGTCCTCCCCTGGGTCCACCTTTGTCCCATCTGTGTCTCCAGACAACCTCCCTTCATTCACATCGTCAGGCTGCAGGCAGGCGAGTGCTTTGCTGTATGTGTTTGCTTCTCTGCGTTATCTGGGGGTGCCTTGAATAAAATCAAACTCCATTACATACTGATTCTGGAACAAAGCAGTTACAAAAACCATAAAAAGCTGGCAAAGCTGCTAGGCCATCCTGCTACTTCTCCTCCGGGTTCTCTATGAATGACTCAGGCGTCAGAGGTGATGCTGTCGTATAAGATGTTATTGTGTATGTTGTACAAGTAATTTATTGACTGTCTTTCTAAAGGTATGCTGCTTTTTTAAGATGCACTATAATTTGGGATGTAATCCTTGTATTGCTTTTCCAAGGAAGTAAAAACAGAAAAAGGCTAATGACTTAGTATGCTAGCTGCCACTTCTTAAAAAGGAGCTTGAGGACCAGAACTGACTAAAACCTACCTACACTCTCTTTCAGCATTTTGTGATTGCCATTAAAGAAAAAAGAAGTATTTTAAAGTACAGCCCTTTTAAGAAACCTCAATGTCATGCCCCAGAAAGCTGCTCCACATCCTATAATAGCATAAGCGTCTCAGGATGAATAGAATCCTGCAAACCTTTTGCAAATCCCTATTTGGCTCCACTTCTCTATACATTACACCCCACTTGAACCCTAAGTTGTTTTATAAATTACTTCAAACTGCTTCACTGTTGCTTACAGGTGCTCACAGTTTAGGAGGAATTTCAAATCTGGAATGGAGCAAGAATCAAGTATTTCCTTAAACCACTGAAAATAGAAGAACAAGAATTTTTTTCCAAGAATAAAGTTCTTCATGTCAAGACTTAGTATTTCTTCCCCAAATTGAAGATTTTGTTGTAGGTTCAACTTCTTGAAAGTCAGTGCACAATGCAGCGCCCTGTGTGCAGTTGGTATTCATGAAGTCTGCGTGCATGGAGGCATTTTGTGTCTAAGGTGTATGTTTAGAACACTGCCCGAGCCATCTCATGACACAAGCATCAGAGACTGGTGCTATAGAATAGAATATATTTGTACACATAGCACGTGCAAATGGTATTTGTACATAGAAAAGACTTATTGTGGCAGATCAAGAATAAATTATTTAACTGACAGCGCAAAATCATTACTTGCAAAGAAAAGTAATTGTATAGTATTTTCCTATACTCCACCCTGGGAGATAATATTTATATCAGTGACTATCGGTGCATTTTAATTGTAACATGAAAATGATTCTGCCATGTTGTGAGGAATACCTGCTTGGTTGCAGAGGCCAATTTTTGTAGCTTTGATTTAATGTTGTGACGTGATGTGTGTACATTTACAAACAAGCAATGGATAAACAGCTCGGACTTTCATTTTCATTCCAGTTTTTTTGACCTCAGATAGAAACAGCGGCCCTTACAAAAGCAGACGTGCACCGAGACCATTTCAGGTGGACTTTGCATTCAGTGCCAAATGCTCCCATGGGGATAATCGGATGTGCTTATCAGGAAAGAGGAAAGAGACTTGGACAAAGAGGGGTTTTCCTACAGATCCATGTTGAGTCTTCTACCAAAACGTGTCTGGAGGCAGAAGGGTGGCAACCACTTGAGTCCCAATGAAGCATTTGGGCACGCACACGCTGGGATGAGCGTTCATACTCTACAAGAACCTGGCACTTCTAGTGAGCTGTCAGGAAGACTGCAAATGCGTTTGGGAGCTTCGGGTGCTTGTTAGGCACAGTGAGCCATCAAGGCAAGAGGGCCTGAGAGAATTTGTTCCAGAACCAGTCTAATCCAAGTGCACCTCTAATATATGCCTTACAAACTCCAGAGGCCATATTCAAAACAGGGTCTTCTCGGTGTATGCAAGGGGCTGCAGCCCCTCTTCTCTTCCTCCCCAGGTTGAACAATACGGACAGTTTCCACACATATCTACCTGTATAACCCTCTGTACCTCTCATAACTGGTCAACGACTGTAACAGGTTACATCAGGTGTTTTTCTACATACTTTTTACACAGATTCTATGCGATTAATGTAACTTAATTCAATGCATCATTTTATTGTACTAGTTCTTAGGCTTGTCCTTTTTTTTTTTTTTTCTAAGTGATTGTGGTTTTTCTTGTGGTTTTTATTGTAAAGATGAAATGGCTGTTAATGCTTACTCTCTGTAACTAAGAATTTTTACCTTTTTGGGGGAAAAAAGGCATTGCTATGAACTAATGAAACTTCATTTATTCATTGTAAATACACTATTGTGCAAAAAATTTTCACTCAGTTGAATTGCTAGTGTTAACTGAATTTTGTCTAGACACCATTTCTGTTGATGAAATAAAGACATATCATTATGCATTGTAAATTGATTTTCTTTGCCTCTGATCCTCTGATCACTGAATTTCAGAATGGAAAGTGAAGCCTCAAAAAAACTTTTCCTGGGCCAGGGAGATGGCTTAGTGGAGTAAGTGCTTCCCTGGAAAGCGCAAGGGCCTGAGTTCAATCCCCGGTTCCGGAAAAAAAAAAAAAAAACTTTTCCTCAAGAGGCCATTTTAATTCCTCTAGTTTGGAACCTTACCTTGGTACCTGATTAATCTATTTAGAAATCTTTTTTTTTTTTTTTTTTTTTTTGTATTTTATGGTGGGTCTACAGGATGTTCAGGATCTCACTACTAGATCAGACTCATAGTGATCTGCCTGTTTACAGCCTCCCAAGAGCTGGGATTATAGGCACATACCACCATGCCCAGTCTCAATTGCTGTCTCAGCGCACCCCAGGGACGGGGCCAGGACTTTAGGCCCAGGGATCGAACCCCCAGCCCCTGCGCTTGCTTATAGGCACTTTAATCTGCTGAGCTATTTGGCTGGCCCTTCTGTTTAGATATCTTTAAAACTTGATGATGCTAATGCAACTTCTAAACTCTGAATTTCTAGTGCCTATGAGAATAGGTTAGGGGCCTTAGACCAAATTTTCTAGTTTTCATATTGTATGACACCCATGTAAAATTTTACCTTTGGGAAAAAAATGGTAGGAGCACAGCTGTAGTCCTAGACACTCAGGAGGCTGCAGCAAGAGGACTGTTTGAGCCCAGGAGTTCAAGGCCTGCTTGGCCAGCAAAATTAAGATCTAACTCAAAAAATAAAAATAAAAGTGAGTGGTGACAAGGGCATTAAACCAACATCAAGATGCAATAAATTGTGAGAACAGAAGTTTAGAATTGTACTTGGGTAGACCAATTGTACATCAAATACCATCAAGAATCAGCAAATTGATCTGAGAAACTACTCTGAAGACAACTGCAGTGTAACAACTACTGTTGAATTCTTATCATCTTGTTTTTTGAAATTCCATATCATTTCTCATGTCCTATCTATTATATTTTATTTCCTTTAAGATAAAAAACAAATTGGATCATATCAAATTAAAAAGTTTCTGCACAGCAAAGGAAACAATCAACAAAGTGAAGAGAGAAGCTACAAAATGAAAATAATTGCCAGTTATTCCTCAGTCAAGACTAATACAGTACCTAGCATAAAGAAATAAAACAATTACACCCCTCAAAATTAGGCCAAATCAAAAAATTGCAATTGAAAGGAATAGACATTTTTTAAAAAAGAAAGAAAGAAAAAGGGAGCTGAGGAAATAGCAGTGTAAGTGCCTGCCCAGCAAGTGAAAAGTCCCGAGTTTGATTCCCTGTACCACCAGAAAGAAAGAAAGAAGAAAGACAGACAGACTTTACAAGAAGCACAAATGGCTGATAAATACTTAAAAGAAATGCTCAGCATCACCAGTCAGTAGAGAAATGCCAATGAAAACAACCCTGAGATTCCATATTACTCCACAAAGAATAGCTATCATCAAGAAATCAAGAATTTGGGGAGATAGCTCAGCAGTCTAAGTGCCTACCTGGCAAGTGCAAGAACCCAGGTTCAATCACCAGTACCGCATGCCATGCCAGCCCCAGAACCCCAGACACACAGTGCTAGCCATCAGGACTGGGCGTGGTGGCACATGCCTGTAGTCTCAGCAGTGGGGAGACTGAGACAGGAAGATCACTATGAGTCTGAGCTGCATAGCAAGACCCTTGTACCAAATGAAAGTAAATAAATACTTAATTGAAAAGAAATCAAGAATTAACAGATGATGGAAAAGCTTTGAGGAGAAAGAACCCTTTTACATTTTTGTTTTGTTTTGTTTTGTTTTGTTTTGGGGGGGCATAACAGGGGATTAACTCAGGCAAGTGCTTATTCTATTGAGCCATCTCTCTGGCCCCCTTTTACACTGTTGATGGGAATGTAAACTAGTTCAGCACTATGAAAATGTGTATGGAAGTTCCTCAAAAAACTAAAAATAGATACTCCAACCCATCTACTTCCCATCTAAATATCTTACCAAAAGAGTTAAAGACATCATATTGTAGTGATACATGTATATCCACATTTGTAGTACCACAATTATAGCTAAATCTTGGAAACATCCTGTATGTCCATCAACAGATGAATGGGTAAAGACACGGTGTGTTTATACACAATGGAATACTATTCTGTCATAAAGAAGGTTAAACTTGAGTCATGAGAAAAATGGATGCACTTTGAAACCATAATATTGAGTGAAATTAGCCACATTAACTTAAATACTGGGTAGCTTCTCCAATATGAGGAATCAAAAGTACGAATAAAAAGAAAAAGAAAAGATAGGTAATAAGAAATATGGGGTAATATTTTTCAAAAGGAAGAGGTAAGAGTAATAGAGGAAAGTGGAGGAAGGAGACATTAAAAAATTAAGATATGTGCATGTACCAACTCCTTATAAAAAATGTACTTTTATACAACAAATGTGCTAATAAAAATGAAAATTAAATTTTATTTGGGGAGTAAAGAGAAAATTGAGTTGTACTTGGAAAGTTAAGCCGGAAAATTGTATTTAATGTCCAGGTCAGATGTCCATGATTACCACTGGGCTTGCACTGCGAGGTAGCAGAGAAGCTACTGGAAGACAATGGGAACAGTCTGGTAGAGCCGGCAGTGAGGCTCCAAATAATGAGTGCACCTATGCCCATCAGACCCAAGCTTCTAGAAGCCAAGCAATGTCCCATACAACAGGTAAGAAAATTGAGATTAAAAGTTGCAGAATTCTGCTATCTCAACAAGCATCCATAGGCAGCTATCCAGTCAAAGAAGGCTTCTAGAAAGCCCTAAATTCTGTGCTGTTAGGAAAATATCACAGTCACAAAACTTTAGGTGCGAGAGGTAGATTATCTTTGCCTAAACCCTTGAAATACTCAGTCCATCCTGAGAAAAACAGGTGGTTCCATAGTCCCAAATTTTTCATTAGAAAAACCTGGTCATTTAGAAATGCTAATTCGTTTGCACCTACAACCTTGACATTTGCTTTTGTGGCAGGAATGACAATCATAGTTTGAAACAAAATGAACCTCATCAGCTCTCCATCCTGTAGCAATGAGGCATTCGAGCCCCACCCAGCCCTAGACATCTTTCTTGCATTGAATGTATTCCATAGGAGTAATTCTTATCTACTTTCAGGGCATGTGAGGACTGGATCCCTCTACACCAAGCCCTGCCAGCTCTGTTGTGTGTACTTGAAAATAAGTTGTTCTTTGAAATCACTTTAGAATTGTTTACTTTTCTCTGACCATAAGTGGGACACACTGAGGAGACTGTACCATGCTTGATGTCTGTCTAATGCCATCTGGTGGCAGAGGCCTGAGCAGGAGTGGGTGCCCAGTTCTTCCCACTGAACACATTTGCTTTCCTAGTGTAAGGAAACACGAAGAAAGCTACACATCTCATTATGCAAGGGCTGCTCTTTTCATCTTACTCAAAAGTGGCATCTGCTGTCCCCACGGCCACCTCAGGCTCCTGAAAATTCTGACACATGCCTGCCCCTGGCCTGTTTGACCAGAAAGAGGCCTCGCTGGTTCTCCATGGTGAGATTTTGTTTAACCTCTCCATAACAGTTGAGCCCAGGGCAGTGACCTTTATTCCAAAATGATGAATGGAGGCCTTCAGAGACACTGATACCAGCAGAGACAGAAAACATTACACTTTGTACTGGACCCTCCAAACTTTTTTTAACTTCTGTTTGTGCTGTGTGATTGACAACTCTGTAAAACCTTTTCAGGGTGACAGGAATTTAAATTACAAAAAGGGGGAAATGCTGCCTGCAGAATTCTGCAAAGGTCTCATCATAAACCCCTATTGACAAGACATGACAGAACAGTTAAAAATGAATAAAAACTGGAGAATCAATTAGTGGAGAAGGGTATTGTTTTGGAATTTAACATATATTGATTCAACAAATGCTCATATACAACACGCTGAGCATCTAAAGTTAAAAATGTACACAGGGACTGGGGTTCAATCCCCGTTGTGCCCTGCCAGCCCCACCCCACAGAACACTCTGAGCTGGTGATTGAGAGGGTGTGTGGTGGCAGACGCTTGTAATCTGTAATCCCAGCTCTTGGGAGGCTGAAAACAGGAAGATCACAAATCCAATCTGTCTAGTGAGATGCTGTAGACCCTGTACTACGTACATTTTTTTAAAGTCCAATAAAATTGTCTTAGCTACTTTTTACTCGTTGCTGGGACAAATACCCGACACTCAAAATGAAGGAAGGCAAGGTTTATTTAGCACACAGTTTGTGGAGGTTTCAGTTCGTACTCCGATGGCTACAAGGCAAATGACAGCAGTTCATGGTGGCAGAAAACAATGAAAAGCAGAGGAGGAGCAGCAGCTGTGGCGTCCATCCAGCCTCTCTCTTCATTCTATGCTGACTGCGAGGATCTGCGCTCCATGGCAAAGATCTAGTTCCTCCAAAGACTGGGACTTCTCCACAGAAGCAGGGTAGGGCAGCAGGAAGCCTTCCTCCATTCCTTTATATACACTTTTTGTGCTGAGTCACTCTGGGGCAGCCCAAGTTGGGCCCTGCCTGCCTGCAGGGCTGGGGCCCCACCACAGGAACTGCCTGAGCCAATTCAGCCAAGTTGTATCAACTACCACATTTTATTTTTAAAAATAATTTATTTTAAAAAATAAAATAAAAATGCAAAGGCTTTATCCTTAATGTTTTCACAGGCTAGACAAGCAGAGATACTTATAAATAACTTCCCAGTGGCTCCTGACTCTTGTAGACAGGAAAGCAGGACTTCCTCAAGAAACATGGGCCTCAGTGTAGTCTGAGTTTAGACTCCTGTGGGCACATCCACTGGGTGAGTTTTGCTGCTTGGAAAGTTCACTGATCTTTGTTGTCTGGCCTATGAAATAGAAAGAGCAGCAACAACCCTGGAATACAACAAGCACCTTAAAAATGATGCATTTGGAAATTGCCAGAGTGTCA